GCCCCGGTCCGGGCTTTCTGGGAAAGGTGAGCGCTGCAGTCAGGCCGGGCAGCAGCCCCCAGCAGCCCCGGTGCCAGCAGGGCCCTGCTGGGGAAGGCACTGCTGCCCTGAAGAGGCGCTTCAGGGGGTCTCTCGGGTCCCAGGCGCTGAGAGGTGATGTTCGTCTTCCTTGGACGTCTTCCCTTCCTTCTGGTTTTCACGCTGCTGCTCATCATTGTGGCAGTTGGGTTGCGAAATGTATCAGTATGTATGGGATTAGGAGTGCTTTCTGAAGGCTTGTTTTAAGTGATACTGGAAAGCATTTGGATTGAGACACAAAGCACATGTTGAGTACCAGTGTGGTAAATCAGTGCTTTTAACTGGTTATATAAAAAATTCCATCTTAGATATGATTTCCTAGACCTTTAGAGAAGAGGAAGTAAGATTATGAAAAAAAACAACAACCCACAGAGACATTTGGCTTTTCTTTTTCCTATTTATGTAACTCAGTTTTTATCACTGTTTTAAAAACCCGTGAGGGATGAATAATTTGAAAGCTCAGTATATACTAACTTTAAAACCACTTTTGCTTCAAAGGGAAAAGAGATCATTGAGTACTACCTTCGTCAGCTAGAGGAAGAAGGCGTCACGTTTGTGCCCCGCTGGACTCCAGCTGCCCTTGCACCCTCTTCAGAGATGCCTTCATCCTGCAAGAAACCAGCAGCGCCGTCGGCTGTAGTGGTCCCGGACCCTGCGCTAAAGGAAGGGCTGAGCAGCGAGCCCCTCAGCACCCCGAGCGGGGTGCCTGAGCCCGCGGCGGGGACCCCTGACGGTGGGTCTGAGCGAGGCTTCGCTCTGAGAGCAAGACTCCAGGCTTACCTTGAGCCATTGCCTCTCGGGACGCTTAGAGGTTACACGAGCAGAAAATTGATCTCGTTACTGCCCCCTTTCCTCTGGCTTATATAACACATTGATTTTATTTTTCTCTTAGAATGAAGAAACTTCCTTCTAAGAAAAAAATAAGTTTTTCTTATTTTTATGAGTTTTTAAAAAATGGGCAGGAAGGGGTGTATCAAGTTATTCTTATATTGAGACCAGGAAATGTTTTTCATTTTAGTTGAAGGTATCTTCAGGGAATTGTAAGGTAGGAACTGATCTTTCTAACACAATTACATCATCACCAAACACATTTTAGGCTTACTAGATTCAAGGCACTGTTTTAAGCACTTTATGAATGTTCACTCATTTCATGATCGTTCCTTTTAGGTAGGAAATGCTTATTGTTCGCATTTTATACATGAATTAACTAAAGCTCAGTGGCAGGCTCCACCATGCCGTGCCGCCTTTCTCGTGCATTATGCCCGTGTGCGTGCGCGCACACACGCACGCACGCACGCACACACATCCCTGTTTTATTTCTCAAACTTGTGCCCGTTGTAAAATAAGGAAATACAAGAAAATTCTGCCCTCATAAGTTTTGTTGAATTATTGGCATTTATCTTGCCATACCTTCTTCTCTGCGGCTCAACTGCACCCTTGGTTACTTTTCAACGGGTGGCAGGTGGCAGGTATTTTAGTTGGTTTGGCGACATGTTTTATTTTTCACTTTGGGAGCTTTTCTTTGCTGTGGTGCTTAATTTGAAGTCTCATTCTACCAGTTTACGTTACCTTATGAGGAAGATCTCTCGTGTCTTGTGTTCTCGAACACACAAAATAGGTCTAGATCCACTTGTTTGTTTCATTTCATAGTTTCATATGATGTGCATCCTCCTTATGTAACTTTGAATTAAATATCATTAAATATCTGTAACAGCCATCATTCTGTCATGAATAGAGTTGATATTTTGCAAACAGGGTTGATCTGGTGGTAGTTGGGGGGTGTAAAGGAATCGGCACGTTTCTGTGTGGCTCTGGCAGTGATTGGGCTTAAAGACTGTCATTGGGGGTCTCTAGGGTGGCTGGTTAGAGTCCCCCGTCCCTGTGGTTGAGTCACCTCTCAGACTCCGGGACCACACAGGAACGTCACCAAGCAGGAGGACTTTGGAAGCCTTCGAGCTTCAGTGTTCTTTGTTGTAAATGATGTCCTGTAATTTATATTCCAGACAAACTAGACGCAGACTACATCAAGAGATACCTGGGTGACCTGACTCCACTGCAGGAGAGCTGCCTGATCCGGCTTCGCCAGTGGCTCCAGGAGACTCACAAGGGCAAAGTGAGAATTCACACTCACGTGCAGGGGGCGCTGTTGTGAAACCTCGGATCCCTGGTCCTGTTCATAAGTGACTCGGAGTAAATGTGCCTGATTGCCATAGCTGGGCATGTCCCTTCCAGTCTGAAAGTCATTGAATCCATATCCCTGTGTGTGGCATCCGAGTCCTTCGTGGCAAGTTGTGATCCCCTACTGTGTATAATTAGCTGTACTTTTGTAGATGTTACAGAGAATGGACTTGCTGAAAAACAATTATATGTCAAGTTGCAAAGCAATATTGTATTCCAAGTATTCATACATTTTAATTTTCAGAAGGTTTGGAAGTGGTTCACAGATTATTCAGAGGTTAGAACTGTTTGGGCTTTGATTTTGAGGGTTTTGGTAAGCAGCCTCATAAGGAATTAGATTTTTGTAATCCTACAACTGATGGGGTCTAGTGTGGAGCAGAGGCAGATTTGTGTGTCGGGGTGGTTACTCACTCGCTGGCCTGCTCTCTAAGTCTGTCAGTCTTGGTCATTAGCGCCCAACAGCTGAGGACCGTTTGTATTAGTTATTGAGAACACAGCCCCTGTGGTAAGAGCTGCCATTTGTTGTGTGCTGACCGTGCACCAGCCTCTCTTTTAAGATCTTAATTAAATCCTCCCAGCAGCCCTGTGAGGTGGTGCTATTTTTATCAGCCCTGTGGTACACACAGAGAAGTTCAGTAACTTGCCCAGGGTCTCACTCCTAGTGAGTGGTGGGCTGCGGTTTGAAGCCAGGCCTTTCGGTTCTGGAACCGACATTCCTAGCCACTTCCTTGTAACGGTGGTCCTTTCTGAGAGAAGGTGATGCCATCTCAGTGCTTTATTTTCCCAGGAGTGGGGTAGTTAGGGGGTGCCAACCACACGCCCCCCATCTGTGCACCAGCAGCATGTGGCAGTGACTGTGTGGCCAGGGTCAAGGGCAGCCAGTCCACGGGAGACCCAGACACAGCCTTGGCCTTGTGTTTTTCTCAGGGAAGCCGACCTGTCGAACTTGTCGATTGCCAGGAGCGGAACCTGGAGAAGGTTCCTGTGTGTCAGGACACCAGCACCACTACCAAAACCAACAACACCGTTTTGTGTTCTGGGTTTTTATTTACGTGTAATATATACACAGAAAAAGTGCACAGATCATAATAACTCGTAGGTTAGCTCAGTGAATTGAAGCATCTGGTGTTTAAGAAATTCCTTATGCCTTCACTCTACTTTGCTGAAACTAAAATGGGAATAGCATGAGGATTATTCAGACTAATCATGCTGATTTTCTAAAGCATTAAGGAACGTGTTTCTGGTAATGGCTAATTTTACATAGTGCGATAGTGCAGCTCGCTGTTGATAAGAAGTGAGACTTTCAGAGTCTTATTCCGTTGGTAACTTGGTTTTTCCCCTTAGCAGCTTTTAACATTGCTTAGAAACATCTCTGTCTCTCAACAGATCCCGAAAGATGAGCATATTCTCCGGTTCTTGCGCGCCCGGGACTTCAACATAGACAAAGCCAGAGAGACCCTGTGTCAGTCTCTGACCTGGCGAAAGCAGCACCAGGTGGACTACATCCTCGACACCTGGCAGCCTCCCCAGGTCCTTCAGGACTACTACGCGGGAGGCTGGCACCATCACGACAAAGGTAGCTGGGAACTTGGCATCGGGGCACGTGTAGAGACAGGCGGGCCCGTGGGCGCGCTGCCCCTCCCTTCCCCGGCTTGAGCAAGTGGCTGCCCGTTTCGCCGCCGCCGCCACCCTGGGGATGCCCCGTAGAGCGGAAGGAAGGGCCTGAGGCTGCTGCTCCCTCACTGCTCTCACTGCCCTCGGGCAGCCTGCTCCACTGCGTTCCTTAGTTGCGTGGAGTTTGACTTTATTTAAAAAACTTCGAAGGCAGAGGTTTTTCAGGAGCACAGTGCTAGGAAAGGTACTTTCCAGTGACTTAACCCCTGCAATATCTGTAAAAACGTGTAGCCAGGTTTTGTATGTCAGCATTTCAGCTCTACCTGGAGAGTGAACAAAACTTAAACCAAGAACAGTGATCCCTAAAATGAATGATTAGGTGTGCGTGGGTTGGTTGGATTACCCTGCACACGGCGCCCAGCAGGACAGCCTGTGCCGTTGAAAGGTGTGCCCGGGGCTCCCTGACTCGACTTGGTGGCGGGTGGAGTGGGGTCACGGCTGAGCCCAGCAATGGCCGCGGTGTGGGTGGTAGAGCCGGACGGAGGACAGGGCTCCGCTGGGCCCCCTCACTCCGTGCAGAGTGTCTCCGGGGTCCTGCTAATAAGCTGCTCCATCGGCTGGCTTTGGCGGGGCAGGGTTGCGGGGGCCCTGTGGGCACCACAGAAGGCAGCTGCTGCTACTCAGCGGGAGAGCGCTTGAAGCTCCTTTGGAACTTGGGTGAGCCCATCTCCCTGTCAGGGCCTCAGAGCTGTGTCCCCAGCCTCATGTCAGGAATGGCGCTCACAACGCCTGTCCTTCCGCCTGCAGACGGGCGGCCCCTCTACGTGCTCAGGCTGGGGCAGATGGACACCAAAGGCTTGGTGAGAGCCCTCGGCGAGGAGGCCCTGCTCAGATACGTAAGTGCCCCCTGCGGAAGACACCAGGCTCCGCTGTGGCTTCACTTTCTTTCTCTGCCCGCAGGGGTGGGAGAGGACAGCTGTCCTGTTGCACCAGCATGTTTTACTTTCATAATTAGAAAGAAAGATCTATTAATATATTCAAAAACTTCAAAAGAGGGCACAAAAATTATAAAAGTGTTTTTCACGGTGGGGCAGCATGAACAGAAAAATCAGTATAGCCCCTTGAGAGGGTACAGGGGGCTGGTCCTGAGTCGCCTTTTCCTTTCCCTCCCACTGACTCGGGCCCCACCCCCCGCCACCCTCGCTCTCTTTTTAAGATGCCCCTCAGATCGGACCTCTTAATAGCACTCTCTCCACTGGCACGTCCATGATCCAGGTTCTTAGCATCTTTCATCAGGGCTACTGCCCTGTCTCCTTCCCTGTCTCCCTGACCCCTTCCAGGGCAGCTTCCACTGTGTGGGCAGCTATGAAGAGAAGAATATTGTCCTTAAATTAGAAACAAACAAGCAAAAACTTTAAAAGGCATATCTATAATCCATTATCCCAAAATACCCACTGTTGGCATTTTGTTGCATATTCTGTTAGCGCCCGCCACTGTGTGTGTGCTGACGTGGGCGTACGTATGCATCCACTCATACACACGTGTGTGCACAAAGATACGGGTGGACTACATCTGTTGGGAAAGGGCTTGTTACTCCAGATTGAAGGGTTCCCTTCAGCTGGGCTTCAGTTCTCACACTGCCTTTTCTCTTGGCTGGTGCGTGTGGCATCACAGTGTCCCCACTCGACGGACACTTACGTCCGACACTTCCGGACGTGTCTGCTCTGGAGATAGGTCAGCAGTTTGTGCCCTCCCCGCCCATCTGGAGACTCCTGTCATCTCACTGGGGAGCTGTCCCCTTTGCCACACGGGACAGCGCTCGTTCTCTTTGAAAGAGATGTTCTTCATCCGTGCTGTGTTTTGTGTGTATGAATGTGTCAAGGTTTAAATACATGACTGGGTTTACACACCTACCTAAAACATGCCGTGTTATTGTCAGTCGCATAGCTTTGATACAGTCGTGGTAGCTTCTTAGACTGATCATGGAATCTTCATGGCCCTTTCGTACGTAGGTTCTCTCCATAAATGAAGAAGGGCTAAGACGGTGTGAAGAAAATACAAAAGTCTTCGGCCGGCCTATCAGGTAGCTGTGTGGTGCTGTTTGTCCCGCTAGCTTATTGCGAATATGAGTTAAGTATTGCTAGTTGATTTTTAGAACCAAAATCTGGTTTGATTTTATAGGACCAAGTGGAAATAGTTTACTGTTTACCATAATGCTCTAGGCGGCAGATAAGAGGGAAACGTGTAGAGCATGTAGTGTAGTCAGTTGTGAGGGACCGTTGCTAGAGTTTGGTGTTTCTGCCCCCGGGCATTGCCATCCGCTCGGTCTGAGTGGATTGGCGTGTCTGAGGTCTGCGTGGTCCTTGGGAGCCCAGAGTCACAGGTGGTTGGTTTTTGCTCCTTTATTTTTTGGTGGTGGGGAGGTGGGACAGAAAAAAATTAGTCTGTGCTATTAAACCAAACTTCTAGTTATGGTAAACTCTTTTGAAAATGTGCAGTGGTTCAGAGGTTGGCATAGAGAAGGGTATAGATGGTTAACTAGCACATAAGTTCCAGGAGCGCAGGGACTTTGAGGGCCTTTGCTCACCGCTGTATTCTCAGCTCCTGCCACAGTGCTTGACTCAATAATATTTGTCAAAGACTAGGTTATCGCCGTTCAGTCACACCACGTATTTAAATGCCACACACACACCCCGCTGGGTCAGTAGAGGGGGCTCAGCAGGTCAAGGGCAGCACATGGCCTCCTTCGCTGGATTGCTGAGTGCGTCAGACTGAAGCTTTGAGTCACGGTCCCTTAGCTTTTGGTGGCTTTGAAGTTTCAGGGATTAGTCCTACCACACCCATCCCATGTCTTGATACAAGCAGATATAAATAGAGTTCATTACACTGTGATTTTTAAAACCTGGTGTATCTTTGGAAATGGATACAAATGACCGTATATAACATCGAAAAGAAAAGCAAGTCGCTCTGGGCCGCGGCTTGCCGAGTGTGCCATGTACTGAACGGAGCTCATCTCACCTGCAGTTCGTGGACCTGCCTGGTGGACCTGGAAGGGCTGAACATGCGCCACCTGTGGAGGCCGGGTGTGAAGGCCCTGCTGCGCATCATCGAGGTGGTGGAGGCCAACTACCCCGAGACACTGGGCCGCCTTCTGATCCTGCGTGCCCCCAGGGTGTTTCCTGTCCTCTGGACTCTGGTGGGTTTCCGTGTCGTTCCGCATAACTAGTAGCCGCTTGGAAGGTGCACACACGTGCATTCATGTATGTGTATGCGTCTGTGACTCGAAGTCATAAAGCAAAATAAGCACGGAGACATCAAAGTTTCTCAGATTATTTAAGGAAAGAAAGAATTCCCGAGGGTCCTAATGTCATGCACTTGGGCTTTACAGAAAAAGCATATCAAACTTGAATCCGCCCCGTAATATCACCGTGTAATTTTAATCTTTGAAATACAGACAGCAAAGCAAATATGACTACGTGGTTTTTTCTAATTATTTATAGGTTAGTCCATTCATTGATGACAACACCAGAAGGAAATTCCTTATTTATGCAGGAAATGACTACCAGGGTCCTGGAGGCCTGCTGGATTACATCGATAAAGAGATTATTCCAGATTTCCTGAGTGGAGAGTGCATGGTATGTATCTAGGAAAGCATCTGCACTTTTGGCTGCTTACGAGGGTAGCAGAGGTGGATGTTGGTTTGCACAAAGGATTTTCAGAACCTTTAGTTTGGATTATTTGATTGTCTTTCAGTTTTTGTTTTGGCTGACATCTCTCTGATACTGGGTTAAACTAAACAGAACCATTTAGGTAATTTTTGATAACACACATTCTTCATTGTTAAATACTAATGAGAATTTGTTTTACAGTCAGTGTAATTGCAGCTTGCTTTATTCACTCAGCTTTGTGTGAATCAGATTCTTTAATCGTTTTAGAGGAGCTGTGCATTTCTTTAAAACATTGAAAAATCAAATTGATTCTCAAAAAGATTTCCCCCTTGACAATAAATCAGGATAACATTTTAAAAGGGATAGTTAAGGGAGCTAGTTCTCTTGTATGTGATGTGGGGTTTTAAATACATTGAGTTGCTAGGTTATCAGGCAGGTGGCTCCACTTCTTTACCCTGTACTGTGGCGAGGGAGCCAGAGAAGTTTAGTTCCTTGAGGACCATACAGCCTCGGGGGCACAACGGCCTGAGGGGTGGGTGGTGGTGGTGAAGGAAACAGAAGCGTGGTCCACGCATCTTGCTGACGTGACAGGTGACGGGCGCCAGCAGGGAGTAGTGGTTCTTCTCAGAGAAGGGACTTCCGTCATCCTTCATAGTAAATAAGGTTAGCCGTTGAGATGTTGAGATGTGGCCCCCCTGGCTGACTCATGTATTTAGCTAATGATTGGGCGCTCGGGGGAATCTCTCTGGATTGTTCGAGGAATTTAACTGGTACTTGAATCAGCTCTGAGGCCTTCAGTCCTGCTCCAAGGAATCGCAGTGCAGCACAAAGGAGCAAGTGAGGTAGAGGACCTTCACTCACCCAGCGCCCATGAGATTAAAGCGCGAGGTCAGATCTGTAGCAACCCACAGACTTCGATTATATCAGAGCAGGACCCGGCGAGGTTGCTTCTTCCAGTTACGACGAAAGCAACTGGGCTGCAGCAGAAGCAGACCTGACTCCCCCGTGAGGTGTTCAGGATGCTAAGAGTCCTGCAGTTAGCAGAGATCTCCCCACGCTGGCCGTTAAGGCTCCTTCTCTGCTCTTCCGTGCCGCTGTCGGGCTGGCGTTGAAGAGACAGTGCTCGCTTCTGCCCGCTGCCGTCTAACGTGGCCTCGGTGCTGTGGCGTGTTTGCGTCCCGCTGCACTGCCCGCTGTAGACGGCTGTGTTTCTTTGCTGTGTGGTCGCCTCCCAGGGCTGATAATGTAAGCAGTGCTTGGATTTTATGAGCGCGAGTGTTAAGTCATTATATCCAGGTCAGTTAGGAAATTTATGAAATGTGCACATTCTAATTCAGCCTCTGTTTCAAGCAAATTCGAAAGTTGCTGCTCTTTATTATTTTTTGGCTGGTGCCGTGGACTGATCACTTGATCTGGCTTAGACACAAAGCTTTCTTTATAGATTATATATCTTGACTGTAATTGTATATAATAAGGATAGTGCCTGTAGCTGCGGAGGATAAAACTCTTTTCTTAACATAATGTTTTCCTCTGCGGCGCAATATACATACTTCGCTATTCTTACACAAACCAGCTTCGGTAGTTGGATCCAGCCCCTCACACGCGCTAGTGTGAATTCTGTGGCAAATCGGCTTCAACTTGTTCTCATTTATTTAAAGCAAGACACGTGTATTTAAGTGGTTTTTCACAATTATTTTGCTAAGTAGTGTAGAGTGTTTTGCGACATGGCAGGTGTTGTCCATTTCCTAAGCGGCTCCGAGGAGTCGTGTGTGTCAGGACATGGCGCTGCCGGCGTTTGGTTCTCAGAGGAGTGGCCTGTGTTGGCTCAGCTCACATGACTGCGTTTACATTTCCAGTGTGAAGTGCCGGAGGGGGGCCTGGTGCCCAAGTCCCTGTACAGGACCGCGGAGGAGCTGGAGAACGAAGACCTCAAGCTCTGGACCGAAACCATCTACCAGTCCGCGAGTGTTTTCAAAGGGGCCCCGCACGAGGTAGGTGCCGGGACGAAGCCACGGGGGCCGGGCCCCCGCTTCCCACCGAGGTTCTTCTGTGGGTCTCCCCAGCGGGGTGTAGTTTAGGAGAATCAGATGCTTTTCTCTGGTCTTGGTCTTTAGTTTTGTGTTGACACTGACCTGCAGTTTAGGTAGATGTCGACACAGGAGAGCCGGGCTCTCTCAGAGGGGAAGGTGGCTGCCCTTGGCCAGGGCGCCCGGAAGGAGGGTAGGCAGCCGCGGTGCAGTTCACGCGAGAGCCTGGACACATGGGAGCGCAGCAGGTCTCCCCGTGGGAAGGTTGGTAACCCTTCAGTTTCATGTACTCAGTGATCGGACCAGTCGCATCTTCTGTTTTGTCTTGACTGGATTTGGTTATTTATTACCTTTAAGGAATTTGCCCGTTTTTATAAATCTGACGGAGTGAGGAGAAACTAGCACATGTGTTTTCTCTCCTTGCTGTCACGTGGTGGTGCAGAAGCAAGAGTGTGCCTGTGTTTTCACACGCGTGTGTGCTGTGGCGTCATGAGGGACTCAGCACAGACTGGCCCCTCCTGGACTTCGGGCTGAGGTTTGTGGCTCAGGATCGTGGGAGGGGTGGCACCTGGCACGGAGAGGCCGCTCAGCGGGCTGGGCTGCTGGCCGGGTGGACAGTGGTGGCCGGGAGCTGACGCCGCACCGCTTCCTCCATCCTCCCGGCCGGGGTGTGTCCCGCACGGCCCACCCGTGCCTCGTGGGGCAAGTGGGCATGGGGCTGTAGTTTGAGCGAGCAAAACAGACAGGTTCGATGTACCTTATCTTATTCACAGCCTCTGCAGGGGGAAGTCGACTGTGTCTTGAGGATTATTTGTATTAGTTTTTAATTTGGAGGCCGGCAGGCGCGAGGAGGCCAAGTTCTTTCCTTAGGTTGTGGTTGCTTTCATCCAGGGTAGAGAACTCAGTGGTGTGATGTGTTCTTGTGAGTCACAGGGTATCTGTGCAAGTGTTTCTACATCAAAACTGAAAACTTCAGTTCTGCTTTGGGGGTTCAGTAAAGCACAAATCGAGGACGGCGGTCTCATGAAATGAGGACTGAATTCCTCATCCCCACTGTGAATGCAGGAGCGAGAGTGTCGGTCCGCAGAGGGGCTGATGTCCAAGGGAGCTCTGCCCTCAGAGCCACTTTGGTGTCGTTGGTGCCACTGCTGTGCTTAGATGCAGCTCTTGTGCTTATGGAATCCGCTCTTTAGGGAAATTCTGTGTGGGTCTGTCAGCGGTGAGAAGTGGCCGTGGTGGGACCAAAAGGGCTGCTTGACGAGAAGCAAAGCGCCAACACGCCTCCCGGAAGGCTCAGCGGGCAGGCTTCCAGGGCAGGGTGGGGCGCGGGGCCTGGCTTCTGCTGGAATTTTTTAGTGAATACATAACTTTTTACAGCTGGTTTTAATTCTCACGTCCCTCCCACAGTAATCTTTTGAAACTATAACTTTGATCATTCCCTGTGGGGAAGCTGTATGGGCGCCGCATGAAATTCAGCTTTTAGGTTGGCACTCGACACCCGGGGCCCTTCCCCACCCCAGGGCCACGTGGCGCCCTCTTCCCACCCAGCGCAGCGGCCACGGGCATAGGCCACTCAGCCTGCACTCGCGTCCACCCCGCTCCCTGCTTGGATGCTTCCTTCCCGTCCCCCTGGGCTCTTCTGCGACCTTCCCTGTGCCCTTCAGCCCAGAGCAACCCACGGAACCACTTCTGTGGTGTCTAGCGTTATTTCTGTTTTGTATTAAGACACTTTTTACAGCCAGCACTGGGTGTTTTAAAGCACTCAGGGAATTGAGGGGAAGCTTGGACTCTAGGTGTGGCTGACAGAGCACAGAGCTTGGCGCTGACGCGTAGCAGGAGCAGCTGGGTGAAAGAACGAAAAGAGCGAGCAGAGGCCTGGAAGGTGGGGTGAGGAGGGTCGGCCGTGCGCGCCCCCCTAGCCGGGGGAAAGCTGCCAGGGGTCCTGCTGCCGCGGCGTCGGCTCAGAGGCCCGTGCTTATTTTGGTGGGTTGATGCAACCTCTTTTTCCAGATTCTCGTTCAGATTGTGGATGCCTCTTCGGTGATCACTTGGGATTTTGATGTGTGCAAAGGCGACATCGTCTTTAACATCTATCACTCCAAGAGGTCGCCGCAGCCACCCAAAAAGGACTCCCTGGGGGCGCACAGCATCACTTCCCCAGGAGGGAACAACGTGCAGCTGATAGACAGAATCTGGCAGCTGGGCCGTGACTACAGCATGGTGGAGTCACCTCTGATCTGCAAAGAAGGGGAAAGTGTGCAGGTAAGGTCTCCTGGGAGTCCCCGCAGTGTGGCTCTTCCGTCTGGAGAAGGAAGTCTTGCTTCGGCCCCGTCCTGCGTCTGTAGACAGGCAGTTCAGTGTGTCCTCTTAGTTACGGTTAGGGTCGCTCAAGAAGCCGAGTGAATCCCAGAGGAAGCTAGAGCTCAGCAGAATCCATTACTTGTATCTAAAGTCATGAACTATTTCTGGAAGTATTTTCACAAAAGCGACATGGAAGAAAGGGAAAGGCATTCGGTGCACGTACAAAGCTGGGATTGAGAAGGCTTCTGCTAAGATGGCCTTTGACCTGGCGGCATTCTTCTCTTCAAGGAAAATCACCCCGAATAGAAGGGAGAGAAACAAGTAATTAGGGAACTATTAAGTCTCATTACTAAGCATCCTAATTTATCTTAAATGCTCTGTCAGCTCATTTAAAATTTTGGCTGGTTATTCTGGGTGCCTGAGCTCAGAATGGTAGCTCTCGGGTGCCTCTGGCCTTCATAATAGATGCATAATTTTGCTGTCTTTACGGTTTTCAGGGATAAGCCTGTCAGTGTTTTGGTGGTCTTAGAAGCAGGGTAAAAGAGAGTATTTTATTCCGTTTTTAAAATAATGAACATTTTAATCTATATCACAGTCTTTAGTTCCAGAATTAAGGGAGAAAGTAGTTTTCATAGATTGGCATTCTACTTTAGATTCCCGTCCTTTTAACCCAGAATACATCGGTAAGGTCATTGGAAGCACATCAGAGAGAGCATTGCCTGGTCCAAGTGGCCTTTTTTGACCCCAAGCCCTCAAGGGTGAGCAGAGGACCCCCCCGGGCGCTCCCACCCTGCGGGCGCCTGCATCCTCCTCCCGAGGCGGAGTCCTGGGGGCGGACAGCCTCTGAGGGTGCCCCCCGTGGCCTCCCCAGTGCCTGGCAGAGGCCTGGCTGCAGGGCCGACACCTGGGAGGCAGCGTGGGATGGACCCCGATCATGAATCAGGGCAGCCGGTCCTTCCCCCGTCAAGATGGTCAGTAATCGGTGTTGGATCCGAGTGGACCTGGTCTCCTGGCGTTTGTGGGAGGGCACGGGAAGCAGGTCCTCAGCTGGTGCCGCCTGACTCGTTCCAGGGCTCCCACGTGACACGGTGGCCGGGCTTCTACATCCTGCAGTGGAAGTTCCACAGCATGCCGGCCTGTGCCGCCACCAGCCTGCCCCGCATGGACGACGTGCTGGCCTCCCTGCAGGTCTCTTCCCACAAGTGCAAAGTGATGTACTACACCGAAGTGATCGGGTCCGAGGACTTCCGGTGCGTGAGGCCGGGGTCCAGGCCGGGGCGGCCTCCGGGCCACCTGTCGCTGGCAGTTCACGGCGTTATCAGTGTGGGAGGGCGGTGGGGGGCTGTGTCCCCCTGGGCCCCACACGGCCGGCCTGGCTCTGGGGGGCGCTGCGGGGAGCGGGCTGGGATTGGCCAGGAAGGCGGTGGGCGGCTGCGG